GTCCTCTAACCAACTCACTATTCATATGTGCGTTGACACTATACTTGTTTTTTTACTATTAATTACTTATTGATTGTCTCATTAATTATCCTAAATCACATACTCGATTGTTGAGTATGTACAAATATATTTTATGCATCATCAATTATTTTTTAAATAAGAGACAGACAATGTGACGAAGTGTCAAATATTAGGTGTCTAAGTTTAATTAACCTAAAAATTAAACGGCCACTTGTTTCATCAGCCACGCGTATCAATAACAATGAAATGAGTACCGACATTCTTTAGAGTCTTGACTCAACGCGTCATGCTGGGAAGTTTGGCTTCTCCGCGTGTCCCACGCATAGATAAGTTTATTTTCAGGCACGCATTTTTATATCTTAATTCTAACTCTTTTTCCTTTTTTTAATCGTTAAGAGTATTTAGGATAATTTAAATGAATATTAATTAATTTTTTATTTAATTTGATTAAAAATAAGTCATTTATGTTAAAATTAAGATATTCTTAAGAGATAAATTTTTTATTACTTGACGTTAATAAATTATCAAAATTTAAATTCATAATATTTAAATTTAAACAGTTTTTTGTCTTCTACCAACTCATTTTTCCTATTTTTTGGAGGAGTTCTTACTTCAGTTTCTGATTGAGTCCACTAACCACATGGCTACTAATAAATAAATGATTAATTTGTTCTTAAATAGTATATACTGTACATACATGCTTTTTCATCAATTTATTGTTGTTAAAATTAAACCATTTAATCACTTGGCAAATAAGAAGATTTATCTTTTTATGATTATTGACCCCTAACATCTTTTTTGACCTACTTAGGTGAAAAGTTAATAAAGATAAAATATAAAAACTTAAATTATATGCACAATTATGTGGAAAACTATTTAATTTATATATATACTAGGGATAACTAGTGTCTAAAGGCATGGTGCAATTCAAAAAACATCGAGTACTAAATTGGGGCACGAACTAATCAAGCACTTAACTCAGACGTGTACTAAGTTGAAAGCCTAAACTATCTCCATAATTCGTGTCTGAAATTGTGCAATTAAAAAAATAAAAAATAAACTTATATTGTTCTTAAAAACGAAATAATCAAACACTTAACATAAACACATTAAAAATAAACAAACACTGAATATTAATGTGCGTAAAGGGTCTCAAGAGAATAGCTCAAATTAGAACTCATTGTCTTTTAACAAAAAATATTATGCTAGCCTTATACCACCACGAAAAGGTAACAGAATCTAAGTCTCACGTCCATTCCATTCAAGCTAGAAGTTATTAGTAGTGGAAATGATCCCCTTGGACAACAAAAACCATATTATGGTAGAATTGTGCAAAAGATGATTAAACTACTTATGATGCATGTGATATAGTTACCATCAAACCAACCTTAACATTTTCCACCGCATATGCCTACAAACATGATGCTAAAAACCTGTGTTAGGGATATATGACATAAGTCACAAAAAAAAATAAAAATACATCTTTCAAACACCATTAAAATTAATGCTAAATTTGGGATAAAAAACAAAGAGAGAGAGAGAGAATTTATTAACCTGTGTGTGAATATGTACCAGAATGAGAGCCTTGAAAGCCACGTGAAGATAAAAGCCTAAGGAAATGAGTATGCTTGGATCAACAAGTTAGAGATTTAAAACAAAGCAAACCCAGCAATCAAATCCTTTCCTTCCTGTCATGCCGCCAAATAAACCAACAAAATCCCCAAAAGAAACCCATTATACTAAAAGTGTATATGATCAACAATCATCAACCCAAAGTGATCAAATCACCAATACCCAAACAAAAATTTGCTTTCTACACTCCAAATTCAGAGTCAAACAATAAAATCCGTACATCATAACAATATCAAAGACGATTATTGAGACTTTCTGGAAGAAAATGGTGAGATAAGACTTGCAACTGAGGCCGTTTTGGAGGTGGACCGTGGTGGGGTTGATGAACTAGGCAAAGAGGGAGAGGAAGTGTTCGAAATGAGCAAAGAATAGTGGGTAATCCTAGGGGTGCAACTTGGGCAGGTTGGACAATCAATTCTAACCCAACCCTAGGTATATAATTTTCAACCCTAACCCTAAACCTAACCCTACCTCGGGTTGGGGAACTAAATCCGAGAACTACCCGAATTTAATTCAGGCGGGCTCGGGTTGATGATTTTGGGTTACTTTACGGGTTCAATTCGGGTAGAGTCCAAAATAGGCTTGTTGTTCTAAATTTAATACATATGTTATATAATATTCACCTAAATTAACAACCAATAACTTCAAACAAGTTTTTAACAAGAGAGGCTGAAAAAACGAGAGAGACAAAGAGAACAAGAGAGACAAAGAGCAATAGATATATATAAATTTTTTTTAATTTGTCGGGTTCAAGTTGAACTCGGGTTCACGAGACCTTAACCTGAGCCCAACCCAAATTGAATTCGGGTTGAGTTTTTTGATCCAAGCCCAACTTAAGTATCAAAAACCCTTGTCCAAGCCCTAATTTTTTCGGGTTGGGCTCGAGTTGAAATTGAGTTGCCCAACCCAAGTTGCAACCCTAGGTAATCCAGAGTCCATGGCCTAGTACCATTGGGATAGAGAGAAAGAGTGGGTGAGATCAAACCAGTAGCGAGGAATTCTGTGTTGTGGTAGGTTGGAATTAAGAGGAACTTGATACCTTGTATGATTAGGAAGAACCAGAGGAGCTCTATGAAGGGTTTGTGATCTGGGTTTGGTTGTTCTTTGGGTCTTTCATTGTTTTAAACAGGTGATGAGATTGAGCTCTTGGTATTGACTCTTTTTCTCTCTCATTCTTTTCTAAATGAACTCTAAAGGGCATCAATACCTCCTCAAGNAAATATATGAAAAAAAATAAAAAAATGAAGAATTATTTTTTTAAAATATTGATCGAAATATATTAAAATATCTTAAAATATTTTAAAATATTTCGAAACAATTATGTGAATGTATTAAAATATTATGAAATACTTCAAAATATTAATATTTTAATTTTATTATTAATTTGTTTTGATTCTTTTTAAAATACAAATATTTTAAACGTTTTGACTATTTTAAAACGAAATATTAATATTGGGAGGGAATTCCTTACTGACAATTTTTTCTGTGTACGTTCCCTACAAATCAAATCACAACACAACCCAAGGATAGAGGAGACAAAAATAAAAGTGAAACAAAAAAAAACAAAAACAAAATCAAATGTAGTACTAAACCAGTACTCTCCCAACACACATTACCCTTTAGCTTTATTTTCCCTTCTTTAACTGCTTTTAACTTTGATATGGAAGACCAAATTGCAAGACAATTTGCAAGCCACAAGGGTCTCAGATGTGGTCTCAGATCCAACACCTCTGCACTTTGGTAACCAACGGGCAAGCCTTTGCCAGCTGACCGAGTCGTTTCATGCCTCGAACTAAAGCGAAACGACATGCCCGTTGCCCCATTGTGTTGGCCTGGTCTTGGGTTTTGAGTAAAAAGAAGAGGGGGGGGGGGGGGGGGGGGGGGGGGTTGCGCAGAGGGGAAGAAGGGTAAGGGGAATACCTGACCATAGCGGTAATAGTGGTGGTGGCTGGCTGTAGCAGTGGCGGTGGCTTTGGTTGCAATGAAGGCGTTGGTTGTGGCTGTGGCTTTGATGGTGGTAACAGAGATATATATATATAAAGAGAGAGAGAGAGAGAGAGAGGAGTGAAGAAAAAATGAAGAAGAAGGTAAAAAAAACTGATGGCAAATGAGTAGAGGAAAAAAAGGGAGACGATGGGTACAGGTGAGGAGCAGTGATGGGTATAGGTGATAGATGTGTGTGTCAGGCGACCGTGTGCAGGTGAGTGGTAATGTAACGTTAAGAGAGAGGTGATGGGTTACTTGGGATGGTTTTGGGGGAGAAAATACGTTGGGTATAAGATTCAAATTTTCTTCTGTTTTATTATATATATATTGATTATAAGGCCTTGAAATAACAATTATAGGTTACCAATATTATTCTAATTTGATATATATATTTTTATGCATGTTTCAAGTAAAAAGTAAGTATATAAACAAATAAAAGCTCAAATTTGTGAATTAAAAGTTTGAATTTGCGAATTTTATAAAATATAATTGCAAATTCACAAGAAATTCACTCTCATAATAAAAATTCACGTGTGAAGTGCCAAAACATCGGTTTTTTTTAAGGGATTATGTGATTAAGATTTTGCCTCAATAACTTATTATCTTATTAAATTTAAAAATTTGCACAAGATTTTGAGCTAAATCAAACCGTTTGAGATCAAATGTCACAATAAATATTTTTAAAAATATGTTAAGATAACTTTAACATCTTTAAAAGTATATTTTTTGTCTTTATCACTTCATTCGTCAAAATCATTAGAGCTACTCTAATAATACTCTTTATTTAAAAAAAAAATATTTTTAAATCGAGAATATTTTTGACATTAATTTAAAATAAATAATAAATTTTTTTAGACAACGACGAGGGACTTTCTATTCTAGTAGAGAATATAGTCTTATAGTCAGGAATTAGAGAGTATTCTAAACTTGAAGAGTCAAATTACCCTCTCTTTTAAAAAATTTAAATAAAAAGTTTATTAGAATTTGATTTTTAGTAGTTGATTCTATAAAACAAAAGAGCTGAGTAAGAATAAAAAATTTATTAAAAATAATCTTTACGTGGTATGAGGGGATTCTTTTGAGTTCACCGTTGACGCAATGAAACCCAATTGATTTCATTATAAGTAATTAAACTCGAATAAAATCAAAAACTTTCATATTTAAAAACGATCCAAACCCATAATTATCATTCCCCTGGATCTCTTTCCTCCTCCTCTCCCATGTGGCCCCCACTTTCAATATCTATATAACTACCCTCTCCCTATACTCGTTAAAATTGGAAGTCACCTCTCCCTAACACTTTTTGTTGACTCTCTCTCTCTCTCCAAATCTCTAAAACAGCGCAAACGCCAACTTAAACAATGGCAACTAACCCTAACCATGCCCCCACCGTCAAACCCACGATGTGTCTCCAGGACATGGACGAGGTCAATCAAGTCTTCAACCGCTTCGACGTCAACGGCGACGGCAAGATCTCGGCAACGGAGCTCTCCGACGTCATGAAAGCCCTCGGATCCGACACTTCTGCCGACGAACTCTCTTGCATGATGTCCGAGATCGACACCGACAAGGATGGCTTCATCAACCTCCAGGAGTTCGCCAGCTTCTTGAAGACAAGCCAAAACGACGACGTTTGGATGAAGGAACTCAGGGACGCATTCGAGCTCTACGACCAGGATAAAGATGGGGTGATCACTGCTGCCGAGTTGCACCAGATTCTGACCCGGTTAGGTGAGATATGCTCTGTTCAGGATTGTGCCAGAATGATCAAGTCTGTGGATTCTGACGGTGACGGTAACGTCAACTTTGAGGAGTTCCAGAAGATGATGACTAACACTAAGGCATAATTGTTTAGTGTACGGTTGAGATGGGTGAGATTCATAGTACTATGGTATGGGGTATATATAGAATCGTCGCTTTCTGCTGAAATACTATTAGGATTCTGTTTAATCAGGGCTTTTAATTGGGGTGATCATGTGGTAACCTCTCATCTTTGTTTCCTATCTTATATTATTAGACTAAATAAAGGTGTGTGGAAAGGGACGGAGCGAAGATATTGGGACAAAGTAAATCCGTTGTATCACTAAGTCCCCTGCCAGAATATGTTTAGATTGAAATAAACAATGTTTCAAAAATTATGAGAGTTTCAAAGTCTAATTTAAATTCTCTGAGGTTTGTATTTCATTAATAAATTACACCCAGATTTTATAAAATTTGTAGTTTTATAATATTTAGACTCTTCAAGTTTAAATATTATATTTAGATAAAAAATATTTCAATTAAAGATATAATATCAAATACTTTAAATTTGACCACTAAAATTAATGTTTTATTGTATCATTTATTAAAATAAAATCAAAAATAAAATTTATTTTTTCTTAAAAAATCTTAATTAATATATAATTATACTATCCATTTGAATAAAATTAAATAATTAAACGAGGGGTTTAAGTCATTAAAAATAGAACATGAATGTCACAACTAAAATTTATGTTCTATTATGTAATTTATTGAAATAAAATTAAAAATAAAAATTTAATTTTTCTTAAAAATCATTATTAGTATGTAATTATATTATCTATTGAAATAAAACTAAAAAATCAAATAAATCAAATTGTAACAAACACAATATTTTTTAGCTTTAATTGAGGATAATTTGATAGTTTAATTTAGTCGTTTAAAAGACTAAATTAAATTTCAATAGATAGTTTAATAGTATATTAATTATAATTTATTAAAAAAATTAGATTTTTATTTTAATAAATGTCATAATAGAATATTAAGTTTAGTTGTAAAATTTAAAATATTTGATATTTTATCTTTGATTGAAGTTTTTTTAGTCTAAGTATAACATTTTAAATTTAAAAAATATAAGTATTACAAATCAATAAATTTCAGAAGATTTGAGTATAATTTATTTACGAATATATTAACGAACATCAATAACAGGGATCTAATTGTTATACGGATACAAACTTTAAGGAATTAGTATATAATATTTTAGATATTAGAGAATCTGAATAATTAAGTAACAAATCTTAGGAGTCTTAATAAAATTCTCCCTAAATATTAGGGTTGAGTATCGCTTGATTACCTTTGATTTTTTAAATCCAAGAGACAACTTCCCTCACTTATTCATTAGCTTGTATCATTCAAACCCGCTATGTCTATTTGTCAACCAAAAGATGACGTCAAAATTGACCATATTTACGGTATGAAAAAAAAGTTCTTCTACTTTCAATCGAATGTTAATTATACATTTAAGGTTAGTATTTTTTATTCTTTATATTGTGATTTGTTCATTTTAGTAGACTCCTAGCTTACCCCTATTTATCCTTTTTTAGGTACATGTCGAATTTTGAGTCAAAAGCATAAAGGATTGTACATTTGTACTAACCGAAGAATTAGTGCTTATTCACTAAATTGGAGATTTTCGAACACTTGTACTAATTCCATAATATTTGGTGTTAAATTTGCTCTTGAATTTTCATTTGTTCCTTATTATGCCACAATTAATATCATCAAATAACCGGAGGGCATCCCAACAGCTTCATCGCAGAATAGTTCATGAATCAAGGTCTTACCCTTGACCTAGACTAGGAAAGTTATTCAGCTCAGGGCCTCATCCAACTTAGTTCTAGGTCAGGGTCTCCCAAGTTAGGTAAAGATATGGGAGTGAGCTCATCCTCAGAGAAAGAATTAGCTCATCCCACCGGCATAATCTCTCACATGGGCAAAGAACTTTACCATATCTAGGCATAAAGGAAGAAACCAGATGCCACCTTACTAGGACNCTCAGAGAAAGAATTAGCTCATCCCACCGGCATAATCTCTCACATGGGCAAAGAACTCTACCATATCTAGGCATAAAGGAAGAAACCAGATACCACCTTACTAGGATGTAAAATGTCGCGTCACACTTAGGCAATTGAACTTCCAATGGCCAAATATTTCCCTAACAAATTCTAACAACTTGGGGATCATGTAATAATTAAGTGAGGATCACCCCAAACGAGGGCATACATACAGTGGCAATCCCTCTCACAAAGGCGGATTGATATTCCTATTGTAATCTCTGAGATTGTAACTGCCGCTTTCTTTTCCAAGTAATAGAATGTCCTAAGGAGTAAAATACTCTATTAAAGTGGATTAGCCAAGTTTTATTGCCAGTGTACCACTGTAATTCTGTGTTCTTACTATACCCTTAATTCTTACTTTTGCTGGTAGCTTACTTTAGCAAATCCTAGAGCCATCATACTCCATTACAGGACAATCTCACATGCACACACTATTCATCCACGATTTACTGTTCATAAGCCTTGAGCTCCTCAGCCCAAGCATCTAGCTANACCACTGTAATTCTGTGTTCTTACTATACCCTTAATTCTTACTTTTGCTGGTAGCTTACTTTAGCAAATCCTAGAGCCATCATACTCCATTACAGGACAATCTCACATGCACACACTATTCATCCATGATTTACTGTTCATAAGCCTTGAGCTCCTCAGCCCAAGCATCTAGCTCACGTTTTGAGTTCACACACCATCAGCGGGCTGCGTCCGTGGGAATGATTTTCATCGTTTTCATTAAAAAACTTTATCTCTATTTTACTTGATGTTCAGAACCCAGAGCATGAGCCAAATTCCAGACAATCTATAGAGGGTTCATCCTCCACCTCCATTGAATCCTCTCGCAAAAAACCCAACGCTTGGAAATGAACCAGAAATCTAATAGGAAACTCTTCTTCTCCTTTTCAGGCAGAACGAGGAGCTAGTCATCCTTGTACAAGCCCAAAACTTCCAACCGATTCAAAAGAATCCTTATCCTCAAAACCCCCAATAATCATTTGAACCCTCATAATACTTTGAATCCCCGAGATCCACCTCTGAATCCTATAAAATGTGTGGCTAAGGAACGCCATAGTCAGTCAGAGGAAATCCTTTGACGTCAAACAAAGATGATGCACATAGCAGAGCANCCCAAAACTTCCAACCGATTCAAAAGAATCCTTATCCTCAAAACCCCCAATAATCATTTGAACCCCCAGAATACTTTGAATCCCCGAGATCCACCTCTGAATCCTATAAAATGTGTGGCTAAGGAACGCCATAGTCAACCAGAGGAAATCCTCTGACGTCAAACAAAGATGATGCACATAGCAAAGCTGCATGGCGAAAAGGGGAAATTTCCAACCTCCCAGTCNTTGACGTCAAACAAAGATGATGCACATAGCAGAGCAGCATGGCGAAAAGGGGAAATTTCCAACCTCCCAGTCCACAAAACAATCTGGATTAGTTTGGAAAGAACGCTTTAGGGAAATCTAATATGAATTGGGTAACGTGAAGGAGGTCATGAAGAATAGAACTCCAATTACCATGGAGGCCTAAATTCAATGAATTGAATCACCTTTTACAAAGGAGATACTAGTAGATCACCTGCATTCATATAAAAACTAAATGGAGTTACACAAGTACTAGGATCCGATTCAATGCCAAGATTTTTCCATCACCTTGAAATGTTCCGCTCTTGCTTGGTTTAATAGGTTGGCCTTGGTGTCATCCTCCTTGTTTAGACAACTGTCTATTTAGTTTGTCTCCCATTTTATCNAAGATTTTTCCATCACCTTGAAATGTTCCGCTCTTGCTTGGTTTAATAGGTTGGCCTCGGTGTCATCCTCCTTGTTTAGACAACTGTCTATTTAGTTTGTCTCCCATTTTATCGGGGCAAGAATGCACCTAAAATCGTCATATCATTTGCTAATGGTCAAGAAAGACCTAGGAGAGTCACTAAGAAAGTATGTTAAGAGATACAATCAGGAGTCCCTCAAGGTTGACAAGCTAGATGAGAAGGTTGCCCTCACAGCCTCCACGACTAGTCTGGGTCTACAAACTAAAGATCTCTTATTCTCTACTTCTAAAAATCCCCATGCCATTGTGGGCGAGGTGTTGGTCAATGCAAAAAAGTATATTAACAGGGAAGAATCTCTCCTTTCTAAGGGTGGATTGTGGAGTACCCATGAGTGACGCTCTGACAAGAAGAGGAAGGAGTGAAGCCATAGATGAGGCCGTGAGAGGAGCCAGGAACGAGATCGTTCACCTTAGAGAAATAGATATCAGTCCCCAAAAAAGAGGGGAGACGTGAGGGGTCGACTAGGACCCCCATAGCTAAACCTGGAACCTTGGTTCGCACCTAAGCTGTTCACGTTGTTGAAAGCTTCAATAGCTTAGGTGCTATATCAGGTCGAAAACTAGAGATATGTCAAGTGGCCCGCTAATATGAAGATAGACCAGTGGAAAAGAGGTCTTACCAAATACTGCAACTTCCATAGAGATCACGGGAATGATACCAATGACTACATTCAGTTAAAAAAGGAAATCAAATTCTTGATACAAAGGGGGCAGCTCAGCCATTTTATACCTCGGGAGGGCAAAGAACGAGCCAAACGACCTCAAGAACAACCCTAGCAAGGACATTAACAGCACCAACAAGCTCTAGGATAAATTAGGGTGATCTCCTGAGGCTTCGCAAGTGGCGAAGAGTCTAGTTAAGCCAAAAAGGCATATTTTAGGAAGCCTAGGATATACAACCTCCTTGAGATCCAAACAGTATAGAAGGCCCTATGGCTTGGCCTTTAAATCTCATTTTTAGATGCAATTTAGAGGGGTACCAACTCCCCAATGATGATTCTGTGGTCATTAATGTTATCATTGCAAAAAAAACTATACATCGAGTTCTTGTGGACATTGACAACACTACTAATATAATCTTCATGTCGGCTTTCGAGAAATTGGGAATTGACAAAATGGAAGCTTGAACCCATGAAAACCCACCTACTTGGGTTTTTAGT